TTAAAAAACTATTGAATTTGAGATTAAAAACACTTAAGACCTAGCCCCGGAGCATCGCCCGGGTCTAAGAGCTAGTTGCCAATCATTAGGTTTTGATTATACTCTAAACTTTTATAATTTAAGTTGATAGATTGATAGTAATCCGAAGTTTGTCTGTTGCATAAAAAAATGTAAATCCATTTTTGAAAGTTGTCTATTTTGAATAAAAGTTTTAGAGTTTGTTATTTAGAATACTATTATTAATTAAATAAATGTGGGTTTTCAGAATTAACTTATTTCGAAAATAAGTAGAGTTAAAGATCCTACTTCTATTTTAAAATTCCGACTCAGAGAATTATGAATCACATATTTTGACGTAAATACGTAATTTATTTTATCTAAATCATTAATTCTGAAAACCCCAAGCATGTGTAATCCAAATTAAATTATAAAAAACACATTTACGTTAACTTTCTTACCCTTTTTTACCTATAAAATTAGATAAAATTTGAAAAAAAACAAGTTATCATATTATAGTATTTTACAGTATTAATGTTGTAAAATCGTAAAACAGTTACCATTTCTTGAATTGTTTATTGAATAGATGTTTGATAAAATAGAATAATCTGTTTGTTTATAAATAAGTAATTTCGAGTATATTAAAAAAAAAAGAAAGATATAGTAGTAATTTTAGAAAACATACTTGTAAGACTATTACAGTTTGATTTCATCCATAATGCTGTGTTAATTAAAGAACTTAATGGTCTACTGGTATATATTGCCTTTGCGTTTATGTTTTGACAGGCACGTGTATTATATTTTCGGGGAATTTTATTTCTTTATTATTACGAATACTCCCAATAGATCTCGAAATATCTTCAGCATTTGACCTGTTTAATGGATTTGCGTCCCAACATTTTTCCATTAAATCAATATAAGGCTGTGGTAAATCGTTAATTAATTCGGGACGAAGACCATTAAGAATATCAAGAATAAGATATTCATCATGCTTACGATCAGAAAAAGGCTTTTGTCCAATTGTCATTTCCCACATAATCATTCCAAAACTGTAAATATCTGATGCTGTCGTATAATTTTCTCCATTAAATATCTCCGGTGCAATATATGGAATCACTCCATATATCTCTTTTGTATCTGTTATCGAACTTGCTGGTTTGCTTATTCCAAAATCTCCTATTTTTATATTAGAGTAAGAATTTAGATTGTCAACAAGTATATTACCACTATGAAGATCTCGATGAATAAATTGTTTATCATGAATTTTCCCGAGACCCATTGCTACATTTTGTAACATTCCAAGTTTTTTATTCCAAGATAAATTAAGAAAATTTGTTGAAATATAATTATGTAAGTCACCGCCTGGTGCAAAGGCCGTTACAATTATATATTTTTTTGTTTCCGGATGACGTGTGATGCCATAATATTTATGTATATAGGAACCAATTAAGCTAGAATATGAACATTGAAAATAATTTTTTAACTAAAATTAAAGAACTAAGTTAACTAATAGAATAATAATAGGTTCTGTGAATGATATTAATGATATAATTGTAACAATGCAAACCTCGTTTAAAAAATCTTGACTTATAATTTCAGAATCGTTAAGATTTTTAAGAACAACCGTTGAATTGTTATACATATAAAATGCTTGCCTATAATAATTCCAGTTACGCTTTATACTATTAAAACATGTTGCCTTATATATTTTACTAAACCCACCTTTAGCGAGATAAGTGATATCACTAAACTGCTCGTATGGAATAAATTCTATAAGTTTTCTACTAGTTTGTTTATTTATCTTAATAAGCCAATTATCTATAACTTCATTACCGCTAAATACGAATTTATCACAAAAATTACATAGTTGGGCATTATAATCCTTATGAAGTCTTCTTTTGTTACATTTTTTACATTTTTTATAACACTTATTGCAAAAATTACATTGGGTATTTATACCCGTATGATGCCTTCTCTTTCCGCATTTTCGACACAGTGTAAGGACTTGTTGAGGCATTGTTTAATAATATGCTACTAATCTGATAATTGCAAAATGATTATGCTAATATAAAGCTATGTAGGTAATTAAAATACATAAATTTACACAGTTTCCAGAGATAAGTTTATGCTGAAATTTATATTTTTTTTAGATTGCAAACAGAAACCATAAAATTTGTTTTAAGAATATTCTTTGCTTCTGTATCACATAATATTGTAGAACAGAACATTTCTCATTGTAAAACAGAATTTTTTTTTTTGGAATTCTTAATAATGTCGCGTAACGATAACGTATCATGAGCGTTACCTGTTAGCATTAAAAAAAAAAAAAAGAAAACCATACATACGTAGTAATCATTAAAACGTATGTGTGTACTTACGGACGTACGTACGTACATACGTCCGTGCATACATGGCTTAGTTATCAATAGGACCAATGTGATTCTGTGTATTATTAAATTAAAAGCATTACATAATTATCCGAATTCCTAATTGTCCGAATTAATATTTCTTGTCGTAAAAAATACTTTCGATAGTTAGAAGATTGAAACTAATTCAGAATCAATTTAATATGTAAGTCTGCCAAAAGTTATACCAAAGTTAAATAGCTGAAATTTGTACATGCAAAATTAAAAAGAGCAGTAATTTCGTATTATTATACGGATTATTTAAATGAAAATTACTTCTAGAGTCGTTTAGATTTCAAGATATTTGGTTTCACATTTTTAGTTTGAATTTATTGAAGGATATTTCTCTATATTGAAGAATGTTTCTCTATTCGATATCTGACATGTTAGTTCTCCTACTATAACTACGTAGACCGCTCCATATCACTGACCAACGTAAAAAGTTCATAATATAGCCCCCCTTCCTAGCGCGAGGACAATGATATGCGTTTCTCGATTCGGG